CTTCCGAAACCAAAACTTCCAAATGGAGAGTGTCCCAAAGGCTTTCTTGATTATGCAGTGAACTTGATCAGCTTGGATAGTAGAAACTTATCTTGTGTCACAGCCAATGGACAAGGTCTGAGAGAGACATTGTTCTATAACCTCTTCTCTTGCCTGCAAATCTATAGAACCCGAACTGAGATGCTCGAGGCTCTCCCATGCGTAACGGATGGAGCCCTATCTTTAGATGGTGGGGTGATTAGAAAGTCTGGTGTATTTTTCCTTGGAAGTAGGTTAGTATCAAATTTAGGTACATTTTTTTTGGTCACATTGTCATGTTATTGGTATGCATTTTACACCCCTCTAGTATCTGAATTTTTCTTATTTATTCGCTTGGCCTCCTAATTACATCATAGGAAAGATACAGAGGTGAAGTTTCCGGTGGCGTCTGGAAAATCTGATGTGCCTGAAGACTACATTAAATCTGAAGCTATGATCAGAATGATGAAATGGGAACGAGCCAATATCCTTGGGGATATGAGAAGAGAACAAGAATTATTGAACTGTGCTAAAGCCAATATCGGAGGACAAGCATGATTTTGTAGTCTTCTTGTGGGGGCCCTGGAGAATGGAGGGAAAAAACTGAAACTATGCAATGAAATCCAAGAATTATTGTTTCATCTGCAAAAAAATGTGCACTTTTGCTTTGATATCTAACATTTTTGTTTTATTGACCTATTGATATGATTAGTCCTTATTTCCTTTGGAGCAAAATCTTGTCAGTGCATCATTTATACTGATGCCCTTTTTTATTTTTTATTTTTTACTTTGGGGTGGGGTTGATGTCGTTTTCCTACACCGTATGTTCACTTATAAGACGTTTGGTTCATAGATTAGAATCATGAGATTAGAATCATTTTTTATTTACGTGTATTTTTTGTGAGAAAAAATATTGTAACAAATTACTAATCATGATTCGAATCAGGTACGAATCTTCTAACCAAACAACTCCTTAATAACTATTTCTTTCAAATAGTGCCAAATACCTAAGTATAGCTATTGCATCTCTTTGTTATATAGTTTTGAGGCGAAATACATCACCATAGATAACATCTAAAAGCAAACTACAATCTACAAATTACATTACAACCTCAATAAATTAATAACCTCAATTAAATACTATTTTTGGCCGGTCCCTACTTGATCTCAACAGTATTAATTTATCTTGATTAAATAATATCTCCATTAATTAATAAATTTTCATGGTAGCAAGGGTATTAGTTTGTAGAGGTTTAACTTTAATTACATATTTCCGACGTGCTAAATAAAATTAAGTAAACATCAAGACTGCTAAACTAGATTATTATCAAGTAAAACGTGCAAATGGTTAAAATCACATATTAGCATCATCAAGACCGTCTTTCATATCTAACTTGTTCGGCTTCAAACACCAGCTACTCCGTGGTTCTATCTTTTCAATATCTGTCTAGAGGTTCAAAATATCAGTATACTGGTCACTGACCATTAGTTGGCTAACAAAGATATATACACTGCATTCTATATCTATGAAGTTAGTCTTCAATCCATCCGGTCTTGAAGTCCAGAGTCTTTTTCTCTATTTTCAACCTTCCATGCCCTTGAGCAAATATATCAAAGTATCAAGTAGTGAGGACCTGGTTCTTTCCAATTCCAAACATGTCACTAATTCTAAGCTGGCCTTGGCAAGGATCTCTATTCTTGCCACTAAGGGCCCATTTGAAAGGTATACTCAAACCATGATTCTGACGTTTGAAATTCAAATTTTTTGTGAGAAAAAAACAATGTAGCATAATCAATGATTTGATTTTGAATACATGAAACAAACGGGCCCAAAATTTCAGTTGGCTTTGGTAGGAAACTGCGCTCCCACCATGTCTTTCCACTCATTTTTTCCAATGCCGATCCAAATGGCTTGTACGACAACTTGAACCACAATAGTACTCACCCTTGCAGTAGTTGCAAATAGCTTTTGGCTCTTGCTTCCCCTCACCATTCTTTCTAGGTTCAATTCTGAAGTGATTCCACACTTTTGATCTTCTACATTTAGCCCAATTGGTAGGATCATAAAGAGCCACCATGCCCACCCATCAAAAGAGAGGACACAAATAGAGGTGTCTTGGCAGCATTAACATCATCATCAACTTCAATCTCAATGCTATCTTCGAGCTCAAAGTTCCCAGGATCCAAAGTCCTTCGGTCAGTTTCCTAAAAAACAATATATAAAAAAGACACAATTACTAGAAGCAATGGATCAAGATGCTGCAGAGCTGTCATTGTATTTGTTTGGTGTAGAAAAGAAAGCAGAAAATGTGCATCGAGTCAATTAACTATTGGCAGCTCCATCAACCATGTTGACCTCTGTAGTTGCAGGCAAGGATCCGTTATCCTCATTCCTCTTCTCAGGAAATTCCTTGTCACGCCTCCAGGTCTTACTGCGACAATTTTGTGAAATGTGACCCCTTCTACCACAAGTGTGACAAACAACTCTGTTATCTGTCTCCCACTCTCGTTTCTTGGAGTGCAAAAAGTATGGATTCAAATTTCTCGTCTTTGATACATCTTTATCAGGTGGATGATAGCCTGCCGGATTAGGCAATTTTCCTTTGCCCTGGTTGCGCAACTCTTCTTCAACACCTAAACGATTCATCAACATCCAGAAAGGAAGATAATCCTCGCACATCAACTTGACACATATGTCCTTCCATGATGGAGGAAGCTTGGAGATCACGACACTAACATGAAATTTCTCCTCAATCATCATACCAGCAGCAACAATGGAATCGGCAATGTTGTTAATTTCTTGAACTTGCTCCATTATCGATTTTTCCTCAACCATCTGAAATTCGATGTACTTTTTAACTTGAGATCTTTTTGTTCCATGTTCCTCGCAAAGATGTACTAACTTTAGCTCTTCCCACAGTTCTTTGGCTGTCATGTTCTTCTTTGAGTATAGATTAAACAGTTGATCAGATACAGAGCTCAAAATATTGCGACAACACGTGTAATCGTCTTTCTTAAATTTCTGTTCAGCAGCCTTTGCTTGAGTTATTTCTTCAGCACTAGCTTCTCGGCCTAGTGCATTGCTTGGACATGGTTCAGTAAGAACATAGGCAATCTTTAAATGCTTTAACAAAAGTTCCATCTGTTGAACCCACGATAGGTAGTTCTTCCCATCCAACCGGTCAATTTCTAAACGAAGTTCGTATGGAGGAACATCACTTGCTGAATTAGACATATCTTTTGCTGAATTAGAGATATCTTCAGTTTGTTTACCATCAACTTGGGATCTACATTGTATCAGTTCATGGTATTGGTCAGTAAATCATAAAGAACCTGTAAAACCAATTATCAAGAAGAGCTTCTAATATTTCCACGCTCAAGTTAAAGGATACAACTATTTTGACTTAAAACAATTTAGACGTTCAAAGAGGAAAAAAGGCTAATGGATGAAAATGCTGAAGTTTCCCTTTCAAAAAGACTAAAATTCTGAAAATCTATAACTACAACTCGAATTAAAGATTAAAATTTAGAACTGGCTTCCAAAAAAAAAAAAAAAAAATTCACCTTAACTTTGACTCCATTTTCTTAATAGCTTCTTCAATCGCGGGGACATTTTTTTTTAATGCGGACCACTGTTCAGTGGATAGGCTAATTCCTAAAAACAGAGAAGTTTTAGTATCAGCACAAAGTCTTGAAAAAAAAAATGAAGGGTATGAAAAATAGAACACAAACAGCCCATTGATACGAACTCCATTATAACAACAAGGACCAGTGAAAGTACCATGAAAACGGAAACAATATCTTACCTTGACTCTTTAATGAACTTGAATCTCTAGAGGATAATGACGCAATTTCAAAACTCAAGAAAAAAAAAAAAAAAAAAAAAAAAAAACAAAAACAATTTTAGTACTATGCTTACCTTTTCCAGAAGGAACTTGCAGTCCATCTTTTCGATAAAATTCCCTAATCGAAACCAAGGTTTTCCCTCTGAAATCGTTAACCACCACATTCCTTCTGCCCGATAGCTAACAAAAATCAAACAAAAACCACAAGTAATTGTTTGTTTTTAAAAACGGTTTTGCACGCCTGTTAAAATACGAAAATGAAAACGGTACGTTATATTTATTTAGTAAATATTTTAAAAACGAAAATAAAAATAAAAAACAGTAAAAATAATTTTTATAAAAAAATTAAAAAACAGTTAAAATTTATTTTAATTATTTTTATTTTTTAATACTTATTAATAATATTATAATAAATTAATTAATAATTATAATTATATACAATTTATTTTTTTATTATATTTAAAACATTATTTTAAAAAATTACTCAACCCCAATTTTAAAATCGGTTTCGAATAATTTTTAAAATAATCTTAATTTTATTTTTGTATTAAAAATAAAATTATTTTAGAAACGTTGCTGCGCTCATTATGTTTTCCTTTCTCATATTTTCTCAGCAACCAAACAGCGACCTAGGTTTTGAGTTTTCAGTTCTCACCTTGCAAATGAGCCGATCACCTCCGTTGTTCACCTCCTTGTCGGCCAATTTCTTATCCGGCTCTTCTCCGACGCCTTTCTCGGGCTGCTCCGCCGCCGAGAGGAGAAAGCTCTCGACAGCGCTCCTGACGACGCTCCTGTGCTCCGTCGCTAAGAGATCGATTCCGAGGCGCTCCGACGCCATGGCTCTGACCTTGAACTCCGTCATCTGCTCCAAGTCCGTGTTCCGCAGTATGTCGACAACAGTCTCCTCGATCTTCCGTCGATTTTCCAACTCCATTTTTTCCCGCGAAAATGAAAGGTAGAAGAGAGAAAAACAGAGAAAATGCTTGAGATTTTCGAGTGATTGCAGTTGGAATAAGAATGGGTGCTGGAACTGACCAGGAAGAACAGTCATAGTGTAAAGGGGCCTACCTTTTTTCGTTTTTCTTTGGTGAAACCTGAAAAAGATAAAGGATGAAAAAAAAGGTTCCACCGAGATTTGAACTCGGGTTACTGGATTCAGAGTCCAATGTCCTAACCGCTAGACCATGGAACCAACTTGTTCATTGGCTGGTGGAAAATTTATATATATTTTGTAAATAAAGAATATGATTCCAAAGAAATATAAACCCTATTATATAATTTTTTCTCTATCATTCTATACACACCGAGTGTACTAAATCATTTTACTTACATGATATACTTATCCAATAAAAACTTGACATGTGTTTATTTTTCAATGTTAATTTTGCCCACTCATCTCTCTCTTAATGTACTCTACTTTAATTGCTTAGTCATAATTACTAAAATACTACCTAAATCTACAACATTAATTAATTGCATTTAATATCATTTTTAACACTTACAAATGTTATTCTCTACGCTTTTAAAGACTAACCTACTTTGTTTGAAATATATTAATAAAAATTTATAAGATAGTAGTTAGCATGTTAATAAACGTTTTCTAAAAAGAAAACGTTTCATATTACCTATATATATATATATATTCTATATCGTAAAAAAAGTGTATCCATTACAATAAATATGCACATATTAATTACTAAGTAACTAATATCAACTGCTTCATTTATATATAATATCCTACCTTTGAAAATAGATATTATGATAAAAAAATATCTTATTTTCTTTCTAATGTATACATCTATTGGAATACTAAGTATAGAACTTTATGCGCATTTTTTCTCTTCAATTTATCTTCTTGCTCAACGTCTTAGTAAGTACTTCACACGAAAAGCTTTTTTTTTTTAATTGCTTTCATATATAATAAGTTGTCACATATGTTCTTTCATCAATTTCCTAAATGGATTTAAATGTAGAAAATTATTTTTTTAAAAGTTAAAAAATATATTTAACATTGATTAATATAGGAGATTTAACTTTACCATTTATGATAGTTTAAGTGAAGCATTCATGATAATTGTGATAAAGTACACTAGGAGAGAGAAACTAATTAGACAAAATGTACATTGAAAATGATCCCAATGTTAAATTTTTATTAGATGAGTGTATCACGTAAACATAATGATGTGGTACACATAATTCCTTATTTTCATAACAAAAAAAGAGAGAGTCATAAGGCCATCTTTTATTTTATTTTGAATGCCCATTTTTAACGTTTTGTCGCTACAAAATTAATGTCGCTTTCCTCATATGATAATTTGTTTAGATTAGTGTCATTTTTTATTTTGGTGTCTCATTTTTTATTACGATTTATGTATTTATGTCGTTTCACAGCTGTTTCTATACGTTTTGCATATTGACGTTAAATCTCTCTCTCTCTTAGGGGTGACAATTCGTGTCACGTGTCATGTTTTGATCGTTTCTGTTTAAATTTGTAGTCAACCTGAACACGACCCATGACACGAAATTTTTTAAAAACCGCAACACGAACACGACACGACCACTTTACGGGTTGACATGTCACAAAAATAACCCGTGAACCTGAAATTGACACAAAAAATGTATACTTTTATTTAGTTTTTTACATATTAGAAATAATTTAAAATTCATATCACACTAAAATACAATAACATCCATTGAAATTAAGCAAATAATAATATAAGATTTTGAGTATAACTATGTTGATATCACAAGTTCATAATAAAATAAAAAATATGTAATGAAAAATATATGTATTTTTTAATTTTTTACGAATTTCGTGTCGTGTTCGGGTTAGGCGGGTCCAACCCGAAATTGACCTGTGTTTTTCATCTCAATTTCAAGTCGACCTAATTCTGACCCGAACATATTTTTTCTCAACCCTAACCCGTGAAATTTGTGTTATTTTTAAGTCATGTTATCGTGTCATGACCCATATTGCCAGCCATACTCTCTCTCTCTCTCTAAATAGTTTGAAACTATCTTCTTTACTTATTGATGTTGGATTTTCTTCAGCATGAGATCCATGAATGAGGTTGTGAAGTTGTGCAAAGAAAGCACGCACGGTAATATTCTCGTGGCTTAGATGGGCAAAAAACGATGATACGAATGCATTAAACGGATCATAAAAGGCACCCACATTTTTCAATTGATGGACTCAGGTAAGAAGCTGCAACTCCTCAATGATCAAACTAGGGCAACTAATGCGCATCATGACACGATAACACAATTAAAAAATGAGACGAATTTTACGGGTTACGACTGGAGAAAAAAAAACTGAATTGACTTAAAACTTGGCATGAAAAATGGATTAATTTTGTGTTGTATCCACATAGCCCGGTCACCACACAAAGGCGTGAAAAGAGTTTTTTTTTTAAATATATATCTTACATTAATACATATTTTAAATTTTGTTAAGAACTTGTGATCTTATGATTGTTGTTCTTATAATCTTATGCTCTTATTTGCTTAATGTTATATTATCACATTTTAAAGGGTTATGATTTTTAGTTCTTTATAATGTGTCGAAAAAACTCAATAAAAATATATGATTTTTGTATCAATCTCTGATTCATGGAACAATTTCATATCGTGGATATTTTCATGTCGCGGCATGTTAACTCGTAAAGCGGTTGTCTTAACATGTGTTTTACGGTTTTTTAAAAAAATCTATATATTTATATCACGCACTGTCCAATTTTTTAACCTTATTTTTTGTTTTGTGAGTTGGAGGGAGGCGAGGATCGAGGGTCATTCTATTATTTGATTGAAAGGAGGAGAAATATATTTCTAACCCACCAATTTAAATCCTTTCATAAAAAAAAAAAAAAAAAAAAATACATCAATTTTTTTGCTTTAGCGCAAGGATTCAATAATCCCATTAAAGTTAAGTGAAAAGGACTATTTTACATAAAAAAAAATATTAATAAATAGTAAAATAAGGGATATAACAGTGAAACAAATAACTTTTTTTTTTGGGTCATGTATTGAATGATCATGCACTTCATACTAAAAGTTGACTACATGGTTTTATGAGGCCCATGCAAATTACATTTCTTCATAGTATGAGACCTTAAAGGGGCATCTAAAATAACATGCCCACCAACCAAAGCACCTAAAAAACTTGAAGAATGAACAATATATGAATCCAATATTTAAAGCCAGTTGCATGTAAAGAGCATGTTAAAATTATCACCTTATTTTTTTGAAACAATCGCTCATATATATGATATATGATTAACAAGCCAAAATTTACATCCGAGTGAAGAAAAGAGTTTGAACCCAATGTAAAATAGCATATCATCATTGTACAGATGGATTTAACGACCTTTTCCTTTACAGCTATCCTCTTTGCTATTCTCCTTGGTCGTATCATTTATCAAAGTCTAACTAGTAATTCCCCCAACAGAACTCGAAGGCTTCCTCCAGGCCCACGTAGATGGCCCATTGTCGGAAACCTTCTCCAATTGGGCCCACTTCCTCACAGGGACCTGGCCCATTTGTGCGACAAATACGGGCCGTTGGTTTACCTCCGGCTCGGCAGCGTCGACGCCATCACCACCGATGACCCCGACGTCATACGCGAAATACTTCTCCGGCAAGACGAGGTTTTCGCCTCCAGGCCTAGGACTCTCGCCGCCGTGCACTTGGCATACGGTTGCAATGACGTGGCATTGGCTCCACTGGGCCCACAATGGAAGCGAATGAGGAGGATTTGCATGGAGCATTTGTTGACAACAAAGAGGCTTGATTCATTTGCCATGCAGCGGGCCAATGAAGCCCAACACCTTGTGAGGGATGTTTGGGCCCGGGCCCAAAATGGAAAGGCCATAGACATGAGGGAAGTGTTGGGTGGATTCTCAATGAACAATGTTACTAGGATGTTGCTTGGGAAGCAATTCTTTGGGACCGGATCAGCGGGCCCACAAGAAGCTATGGAGTTCATGCACATAACCCACGAGTTGTTTAGGCTATTGGGGTTAATATACTTGGGTGACTATTTGCCCATTTGGAGGTGGGTCGACCCTTATGGATGTGAGAAGAAAATGAGGGAAGTGGAAAAGAGAGTGGATGATTTCCACATAAAGATCATTGAAGAGCATAGGAAGAGGAAAGCTAGCGGAGGGAAGAAAAAAGAAAACGGAGGAGAGGATGATGATGGAGAAGAAATGGACTTTGTAGATGTTTTGTTGTCGCTGCCTGGCGAAGATGGAAAAGCACACATGGATGATGTCGAAATCAAAGCTCTAATTCAGGTGATATAAACAGTTTCCATACGCCAATATCCCATAATATTTCAATGCCCAAAATATTATTTCAGTTATATTACCATTAGGCTCTGTAGAAATTATCACTAGTCTCTCACTTTCTATTAGTTCACAATTTGCAAAAATTTGACATGTTTGATAATACTTGCACGGTAAAGGTGGTACTCTCATTAATTTTTTAACGGTTAAATCTATAATAAAAATAATTTTGTGCGGCGTATTATAAATTTTAAATACAGAACTATATAAATTTAACCGTTAAAAACAATTATACTACCGATAGCAACGTGACTTTCTCCATCGCAGTAAAGATTTCCTAACTTTTAATCCTAAGATCTGGAATTCTCACTCTATTCTTCTTCTCTTTTTTCCTTAAACTTTTTATTTAAGGACATGATAGCTGCTGCAACAGACACATCAGCCGTGACAAATGAGTGGGCAATGGCAGAAGTAATCAAGCACCCGCGCGTCCTTCACAAGATTCAGGAAGAGCTTGATTCCGTCATTGGACGTGATAGGATGGTCTGTGAATCAGACCTGGCCCACCTTAACTACTTGCGTTGTGTCGTACGCGAAACTTTTCGCATGCACCCGGCAGGACCCTTCCTCATCCCACACGAATCCTTGCGCGACACCACGATCAACGGCTACCACATTCCTGCCAAAACGCGCATTTTCATCAACACTCATGGGTTGGGCCGGAACACAAACATATGGACCGACATTGAGGAGTTCAGGCCCGAGAGGCACTGGCAAGCCGATGGAAGTCGAGTGGAGATTAGCCACGGAGCCGACTTCAAAATATTGCCATTCAGCGCTGGAAAGAGGAAGTGCCCCGGGGCGCCGCTGGGGGTAACTCTAGTTTTGATGGCTCTGGCTCGATTGTTCCAATCTTTTGATTGGGCTCCACCGGAGGGAATGAGGCCCGAAGATATTAACACCAATGAGGTCTATGGGATGACCATGCCAAAGGCCCAACCCTTAATGGCTGTCGCTAGACCGCGTTTGCCTGATCATTTGTATTGCTAAAATAAATCTCTATGAAATAATTAAATCCCAAGTAAATTTCTCTTTCATATGCTCGTATATAACTTTATGAGACAGTAACCTTTTTATTTTTCACTCACTGAATAATCATAGAAAAGAATTGAGTAGTTGAAAAGATTTTTTATTAAATTTCTGATGATATTATTTTTAGATCTTATTTAATATATAATTGAAAGAAAAAAAAATGTACCAGTGTTACGGTCACCGTTATTAGGTTCATTATTATTAGCATGGGTGCTTAACATTAGCCACTATTTTTCTATAAAAAAAAAGGTTTTTTTTTACAAACACTCCGTCAACTTTTTAAATTTGACAATTTAATTCATATTTTTTTTATGGCAATTGACTCTTTTATCTTAAAAGTTTTTGTAATTAAGGTCCAATCGAAAATAATTTTTTTCTTTTACAATTTTAATCACGTGACGTGCACGTGAGCATATATTGAAGGCATGGAGGTCATTTTTCACACTTAGAGCAACTGTTTAGGGCAATAATCTTTGAAAACCATGAGTAGTTTACCACAATTGTGTTAGGACACATTAGATGATTCTAATATCAATAAAACTGAACAAATAAAGTGAACAATGACCTTCATTACCTTTAATAGTAATGTGATCAGAATTGTTAAGAAGAAAATGTTGTTTTCTATTGGGGACTTTAATTGTAAAGATTTTTAAATTGAAGGGGTCAATTGTCAGAAAAAGACAAATAATGACTGAATTGCTAAATTCAAAAAATTGAGAAAGTTTTCGTAAAAAAATAAAAAAAAGGAAAAAAAAGGGTTATTGGCACAAATAGTTCATAACTTATTGAGTAAGTGACAGTTTAGTCCTTAACCTTTTTTTTTTTTTTTTTGCAAATCGACCCCAACCTTTTAAAATATGTGTAATCTGATCATTTCCATTAAGATCCGTCTAAAAATTAACGACCTAATGCCCGTGACCACACCCACATGGCCCAATCCATCTTGTTTCTCTCTCTCTCTCTCTAGAGTTCCATGAAGCAGCCATGAAAGCCAAACCACCACCTTCACCACCATCACCCTGGAGCCCGCCATCACCATCGCCACCATTAACTTCAAACTCATTTCCATAATCCAACCTTCTCTCTGTCCCAACCTTTTCCATGACCAAAAAAACTCGCCAATCACGTATTTAAGTCCACACAAACTGCAACACTAACACCAACACCAATGTCTCTCTCTCCTCCACCAAACAACCGATTTCTCAAGACCAAGCCCTCTTCTCTCTCCTCCGCCAGAGAAAGACCGAGGAAGCGTAAGTCACGTTCCATTCTCAAATTCAAGTCCACACAAACCGCAACACCAATACCAATCTCTCTCTCTCCTTCACCAAACAACTGATTTCCCAAGACTAAGTCCTCCTCTCTGTCCTCCGCCAGAGAAAGACCGAGAAGCCTTGATCACGTAGGTAGTCACGTGCCATGAACCGTTAACTTTTAAACGAATCTTGATAAAAATGATTAGTTTGTACATGTTTTAAAATATTAGGGATTAATTTGCTAAAAAATAATTAAAAGCTAAAATGTCACTTACTAAATACGGAACCATTTATGTTAATAACCAAAAAAAAAAAAAAAAAAAAAAGAGAAGAAAATCACCTTGTCCTCGAACCGTAATGAAAATTTGCACTAAAAGCTGACGAGCTCATGGAGGCTTCACAGAAAATAAAGCGTGTATGAATTGAGCTAGGGCGCGGAAAGTTCGTTAGCGTAAAAGAACAGGTAAAAAAAAAATCTTACCATTTTCTGCACACGGAATGTGAAAAATCCTTAGAATAGCTCAATAAATTACATCAAGTAAATCCTTTCCAAAATAAAAATAAATAAATAACCATCTCGAATTATCAGTAAATAGTGAGAATATATAAAAACATGACTGCTGTTAAAAGAAATCTTTTCACAATTTCATAAGGAAAAAACCAGTAATTAGTTGTAAAATTTTCTCGAAATTTCTCTCCGGTTTGTGAAGGACCTTATCAGCGGAGCCATGGAGTCGCCGGGGGATCGGCGGTGCAAGAAAAACGACGGCGCAAAGTGGCGGTGCAGCAAGACGGCGGCGGTTAATAGATCGTACTGCGAGGATCACGTGGCGCAGATGGAGAAGCGCAGAAAGAGAATTCGGAGAGAGAAAGAGGTCACCATGTCGACGAAGAAGACGATGGCAACGGCGAAAGAGAGGAGAATAAGTGCCAGCGATGGAACCGATAACGAACCGAGTGAGTCCGAGTCGGAACGGATCTTGGTGAGTCAGCTGAAGAAAGGAAAGCGACTGGTTCGCGATCGTGATAAAGAAGAAGCTAAATCTCGAAAATCGGTGAAATCCGATGAAGAAGAGGGAAATTCCACGGAAAAGGTAAGTATTTCTTTACAATTCAATCATTTTTGTTGCCGAATTTTGGAGAATATCTGTGTTCGAAATGTTCAGTTATGATTGAGTTTAGGTTAGTTTTTGTGTCAGGATACTAAATGCAATAAGAGGAAGGAGAATGGGAGTTTGATGTGTCATCAATGTCAGAGGAATGACAAGAGTGGGGTTGTTCACTGTGCCAAATGTGGAAGGAAGCGTTATTGTTTTGAGTGTATTGAAAGATGGTAAGTAAAATATGCTTCTTTTCATACCCAGAAGATACTCTGAACTTATAGATGTTAGTTATATAACTTGAGAGCTTATATGCGAATATTGTGTGTGTATATATGCATGTATAATTTTTTTTTTCTTAAATGAAATTAGGTACCCTGGAAAGAGAAGGGAGGAAATTCAGACTTCATGCCCATTTTGTTGTGGAAACTGCAATTGCAAAGCTTGCTTGAGGGAGATTCCGGTTTTCAAGGTGCTCTCTCTCTCTTGTTTCTTTCTTTAAAGGCTATAAGGCGTTTGTACTCGTTTGCATAGGCTTAATCCTTGGATTTCATTATTCTCTTGACAGCCTTATTCTAAGGAAATTGATGCGAGTGCGAAATTACAGAGGCTGAAGTATTTGCTATATAAAGCTCTGCCTGTTCTTAGGCATATCTACAGGGATCAGAGTTCTGAATTAGATATTGAAGCTAAAATAAAAGGTTATTGTGGTATATAGTAAGTAGAAATTCTACTTCCTTATTTGTTAAGCTTGTTAACTTTGTGGGACTTCCTTTGTTTTTTCAGGTTCTGGTGTTGAAGTGACAGAAAATGAGGTAGAGAGAATTAAACTGGACAAAAGTGAGCGTTTGTATTGGTAGGTTCAGGCTCTTTGGAAATTAAATCAGATAAAACAGTTCCAGTCCTAGTGTTGACTTCTATATACATACATACATACATACATACATATATATAAATATGTATTATATATTCCTCTGTTTTTGAGTTCTATTGTCTCAGGAGCTATTTATGTAGACATGATGCATTTATACTATGTGCTTTATAGTGTTTAAATTGGTTATGACCATGGAAGTTATATCTCATGACAGTGACAATTGTAGTACATCGATTGTTGGTTTCTTTAGAAGCTGCACCAATCCCAGTTGTTCTTATGATCTGTGTCTCGCTTGTTGTCAAGAGCTGAGGGAAGATCGCCAACCAGGAGGTAACGAAGCAGAAACATCTCGCCAAAAGTTTGTAGAAAGAGCTCATGCTCAAGCGAGTGACAGTGAGAAGGTTCCTAGTGCACGAAAGAAAAGATCTGGGTGGGAGAAGCAAGTCAACCATGATGCTGATGATGTTTGTAATGAAATGTATGATCACTTTCCTGATTGGAAGGCAAACACTGACGGTAGCATCCCTTGCCCTCCAAAAGGACGTGGAGGTTGTGGAACTGCTTTACTAGAACTAAGACGCATTTATAAAGCTAAGTGGGTGAAGAATTTGTTAGAAACTGCAGAGGAACTTACTAGGAATTTCCAGTTGCAAGACATTAATTTTTTGGAAGGATGTTCTCATTGCCAGCCAAATGCTTCTGGGGAGAAAAAAAATATACAGTCTGAAGTGAGACTGGCAGCTTTCAGAGAAAATGGATATGATAACTTCCTATATTGCCCGAGTGCCATTGACATTGATGAGAATGATAATGAGCATTTTCAGATGCACTGGATGAAGGGAGAGCCTGTGATTGTCAGAAATGTTCTTGACAAAACATCTGGTCTTAGCTGGGAACCTATGGTCATGTGGAGGGCTTTTAGAGAAACAGGTGCAAATGTTAAATTCAAAGAGGAGACGAGAAGTGTAAGGGCCATTGATTGCCTTGATTGGTGTGAGGTCAGCAAGCTAAATTAATTAAGTTATGCTACAGATTATGTACAAGTTTATCATACATTCTGCTCTGAAAATTTAAAAATTCAAATCCTTTTGTTCTCTAGGTTGAGATCAATATTCACCAATTTTTCATGGGCTACTTAGAAGGCCGTATGCATAAAGGAGGGTGGCCAGAGATGTTGAAGTTGAAGGATTGGCCATCATCAACTCTCTTTGAGGAGCGTTTGCCGAGGCATGGTGCAGAATTTTTTGCGGCACTCCCCTATGGAGACTATACTGATCCAAAATCAGGCCTGCTCAATCTTGCTACAAGACTTCCCGACGACTCATTGAAACCTGATTTGGGACCCAAAACATATATTGCATATGGCTTCCCTAAAGAGCTTGGTAGAGGTGACTCAGTCACAAAGCTTCATTGTGACATGTCTGATGCGGTAATAATTCCATGTTAATATATTTTCCCCATATAAATCTTGCTTAACCTTTGGTGTCTATGGTCCTTGTATTTAATATACTTGGTTAGCCTTTTGTTTTTCCTTGCACATATCTACATCTTAAAGAATTGCTTTTCCGGCATTGCTTGCTTGATATTCACGATGAAACTCTTTTTTTTTTTTTTTTAACTTTCTGCGAAGAAAAAAAAATGTTAAAAGTGCATAAATATTCTCCTTTCATCACTCATTAAGCTAGTCAGGAGATGTTGTTTATATATATACATATATCAATGCTCATCCTTGGACTGGGATCCTCAGTTCAATGTTTTCATGTCCCAAACTGTGTCCAACCACTTATATTATGCCACTTCATTAAAAAAAAATTTGACAGCCTTACAAGACACTTTTCCGTTTAACAACCATTATCTTGTTTGATTTCTCTCTCCCCTTTCTAGTTTTTTGTAAACCGTTTCCTATTTTCCAGGCTACTCCTACTCTTTCTTCTTCTTCTCTGTTCTCTTTCCTTTTCATTCCCAAAACCTTACCCATAACATTCGTCTTTCTTCTGTTCTCTTGAAGGGTCACATCAATCTATAAACAATTTTTATAATCAAATACCCAAATCCAGTTGACCAGTTGAGTCCGTAGCTATAATACATGATTTAAGGTCTTGTGGCTGTTGTGGGCCTGAGAAGCCGACGAGAAAGACGGCGTTGTCGAGGCAGCAGAGACAGTGGATAAGGAAGAGGATTGGTCTGTGTAAACAACGGGAAGAGTGTCGTCGTCTTCTTCCGAAGGAAGATTAGGATTGCAGTCAGAATTAGAAATATTAGGAGGAGAAAGAGGAACAAGAGAATCGGGATTCAAATCGCAGTGACTTGATGTGTATTTGTTTTCACACACACACACACACATATATATATGTAATATAACAGTCTAATTTTTATCCTTGATAATACAAAAAAAAATTTTGAGAAATGAGGGGAGGCCACTACTTTATTTAGTTTGCGAATTTCTCTTTCATAGTCTGCAATTTCCCTTGGTTTGCTCGAGAAAGAGGATAAATTGGAGAGAGGAGAGATAAATCATAACACTTTTAAAGGAAAAGGTGAAGAGAAGAAAGAGAAATCGGAGAAAGATAACGTGGGTTAAACAGAGAAATCTATTAAAAGGCTGTTAAAATTTTTAATGAAGTGCCATAATACGAGTGGTTGGACACAGTTTGGGACAGGGAAAATTGGACAAAGGATCCAAGTCCCTCATTCTTAGTCGAGGGTTCTCTGCCTGCTCTATTAATGATCTACTTTTGAATTTGGTTTAGCTCTATTTGTCCTTTCTCTGTATGGTTACTGAGCAATTTTGCATATTTTGTTATTTGGTTTTGGTTTAGGTGAACGTTATGACACACACAACTAAGGTGGAGATTGCTCCCTGGCAGAGAAAGAGAATTGAAGAAAAGCAGAAAAAACATGCAGTTGACGACCTGCGTGAACTCTATGGTGGACATAGGAATGGACTTGAAGCACAACAAGGACGTGCTCAATCTTCTAGTGATACGTTGATGGGAGTGCTCAATGTGCAAGATACTTTAGAGGTTTCTGGGGTGCTCAATGTGCAAGATACTTTAGAGGTTTCTTGCTCAGAACATGGAATTCATGATCTAGGCTCAAGAGACTCAACCCTTAACTTGAGAAAGAATTCTCTTGAAACCAGCGAAGATGTTGTCTATGGTGGTGCTGTTTGGGACATCTTTCGCAGGCAGGATGTTCCTAAATTAATTGAATACTTGGAAAAACACAAAAAGGAATTTCGCCATATTGACACCCTCCCAATTAACTCGGTGAGTGTCAATGCTGGTATTTATTAACCGCATTATGAAATATGAGGAAGTTTGGTTGCTAATACTGCATCTTGTAGGTGGTTCATCCTATACAAGATCAGACTCTTTTCTTGAATGAGATACATAAGAAACAGCTGAAGGAGGAGTTTAGTAAGAACCTCTTCTACCTTTCTAGCCTCAGAGAATTGCAATACTATGCCGTGATGTCATCAATGCATAACCTTTTTATGCAGATGTGGAACCCTGGACGTTTGAGCAATACCTCGGTGAGGCTGTTTTTATTCCTGCAGGATGTCCTCATCAAGTCAGGAATAGACAAGTAAACATCCAATGAAATAACTTTGATTTTTGCCAGTTTGGCATATGTCTAGATACAGTCAAATAACTCGTGGTCCCTTTTCTCCAGACTTTTTCCAAGTGAAATTCCTGAATGATGATTTAATAGTTAATACTACCACTATGCTGTCATAAATTTAGTTTCATATCTTGTGTTATAATTTTTCAATTTCCAGTCTTGCATAAAGGTAGCACTCGACTTTGTATCTCCTGACAATGTTGAAGAGTGCATTCGACTAACAGACGAAAACCGTTTGCTACCAAAGGACCATAGAGCAAAGGAAGACAAATTAGAGGTACACAATGAATTTGATGTCTCGGTATATCAGAAAATTTTCTCTGCATGTTAATTGTTAATAACTTTTGGTTGTCCTATTCTAATGGGCTGCCAAAATTCACTACCTTGCTAAGGTTTCGTAATTATCAGAATATAAGGAAGTTCTGTTTATATCCCTGCTTATACAGGTGAGAAAGATTACACTTTATGCTGTTAGTTGGGCTGCGAAAGAAGTCAAAAAACTAAGGACGGAGCTCAAGTAAGTTCCCCTCCCCCCAGTATGATTTTTGCTTGCAGCTATAATGAATTTCTAGATGTCATAACCGTCACATGGAACGTCCTATGGTTGTGACTTGTGGTTTCCACCTTTTAATTGCCATCTAACTGAAGTTTCTTTACTAAGAGAGAGATAGTCGCTGCCAATAGACAATGTTAAAGGGTGCGTTTGGTTGCAGTGAGAGAACAATAATAAGAATAAATAAGAATAAGAACGGTAATGAACAGTAATTGTAATAAGAATAACAACAGAATGGAATAGAATGAAAAAAAATAATAATAATAATTCATTTATTTAGTTGTGATTTTAAGAATATTATGGAATGAAATGTAATTATTTTCATTTGGACGAAACTACCCTTTCTTAAATATATACATATATACAACAATTCTTTTAGCAAAATAAAAATAAATACAAAAAATATTTATCAAAAATTTGCAAGACAAGTCTTTGCCGATTTCCCCTTTGCTTTACCATCTCTGATACAAAATCACTAGTTTCTGTCAATCTCCAACAAAGCTCGAATGCTTTATCTTTCCTTCAATTTCTCGTCTGGGTGGCTCTTTGTTGGCATGCCGTGCACCCACTTGGCTCTCCAAGGATGAAAAGCTTCAGGTCTTGCTTTGTCCATTAACCAAATAACTGGGGCTGTGTTCTCAACGATGCGCTAGGTGGAGGAATGTTGATCTTGACTGTGAAGGGCGGTGGATCTGTGCGAGGCCAGTTTGGGCAAGGAGTTGCGGAGGGTGGATGTGCTCGATGAGCAAGCGGAAGGCAAAGGAGGAGAGGATCTGGCGATGGAGAAGAAAGACTTGAGCTCGCCGGAGCAGGATTTAGCAAATGAGCGACAACGGCGAGGAGAGCGACGAATCTGGCAGAGGAGGCCGAGTTGTTGGACGCATTTGTTGAGGAGAACAAAACTCGAGCTCGCCCGAGTGGGTCGTCGGCGACAATGGCTTCCGATGGGTTTGGACAGATGATTAGATGTGGCGGTGGAGATAGGCTGAAGTTGATGAGGATGATGTTCCAGAAAAAAAGAAAAAGAAAAAAGAAAGGAAAGGGCAGCCATTGGAAAAAAAGAAAAAAGAAATAGATAGGAACTGTCATTCCTCTCAGGGATGGGAGGAATGATGATTCATTCATTCCTCATTTAAAATGGCTGAACGATCATTCATCTTTCTAAGGTCTCGCGTAACATTTAATTTTTTTTGCTACAGTTAAAAATTTTCACATAAAATTATATCTCAACTCGAATTAAAAACTCAAATCAACTCTCACATAAAATTACATCTCAATTCGAATTAAAAATTCACGAACTGAACGAGACATAAATGTAACCAAACATCATATTCAGAGTCATTTTCATTCTTTTTCTTTCCTTTCTCTCCAACTAAACTAGACGCACCCTAAGTTCCTACGTTTTTTTTTTTTTTTTCATTGAAAACCGAGATTGCCTAGTAATTAGTATCTCAGAATGCAGTAGAAATCATTTTGTACCCAATTTACCTAGTGACACATACATATTGCATATCTTTGGGAAAACAATTTTGAAAGTTTTTTTTGGTCTACGGCCTGCTTTGCAGAAATCAATTCTGTTTCATAATTTTTTTTCCCACGGCCTGTTTCTTTCGTGCCTTTCCTTTTGCCTTCATCATTCACCTCCAATATGTACGAGATGTCAGAAATCAGTTCCAACTCTATGGTTGAGCCTGCTATTGAAATTCAACAGAACCAAGCCACGAGAAAGCTCCAAATTGTTCAACCATCATACCGTTTGAATCATAGGAACTATTCTTAGTAATTGCAGTTTGTGAAGACGTTCTTGAAAGGGAAAGGAAAAGGAAAACTGAGCCACCTGATGGGGACTGCACCGAACCAAGAAGATCCAAAATTTGCTGTATGGAACGAAAAGACTCAATGATTATGTCCTGTCTTGGGAATTCCATGCTGACTGAAACCAATGGTGCTTACTTGTTCCTTGCCACTAGAAAGGAGAGCTGGGAGGCAGTCCAACAAACCTATTCTAAAGTTCAAGACAACCTTTATTTTATGAGATTAAAACAAAAATCTCAGCCACTAAATAAGGTAATCTATCTGTTAGTGGTTATTACAATATAGTGAAAGTATTATGGCTTGAGTTGGATTAATATCAAGATTTCAAGATGAGATACAGTGAGGATAATTTGACGTTATAGAAATAGAGGGCAAGAGAGAAGACTTGAATTTCTTGTAGGACTAGAATTAGAATTATGATCAAGTTTGGGTGCAATTCCTTCGAAAGAAGTCTGGCCCCCTCTTAGCAAGGTTTTCTCACTTACTTGAGCACGGGAAAGCCGGAGGACCATGATGCTTGACACTCCAACCTCAGATGGCTCGGCTCTAAACTCCACAGAGCACAAGGATGGAGGATTCAAGGCCAATGATGAGAGGCATATTGGTATATTCCAGAAAATGGAAAGAATGATGCAAACAAGTCCACCAAGATGGACTATGGTGCACCTATTGCAAGAAATCTTGCAACATGAAGGAGGATTGCATAGAAAATCCATAGGAATCTACAGGCAGCTGCTCGAATCTTGATGGTTCAAAAGACAAAACACAGCTCAGAGCATTTGATAAACTTGGAAGAATCGGGATCTTTTGGCTCAATGTTATCCCACTTTGTTGGGGGAGCAACTCCATTTTTCACGTTGAATTGGAGAAAATATGCTGAACTTTTTACTTTTCGTGGGGTATTTGATCTATTAACTTGGGTCTATGTCCGACTCATTTAGCTATTGCAATTGTTTTCTTGGTAGCGGGTCACATGTATAGGATCAATTAGGTCATTGGTCGTGGCATAAAAGATATTTTGGAGGCTCATAAATACCCATTTACCGGCTAGGGCATAAAGCTTAGGTTCTCATGAGAAAACGTGTCCCAAATTCAGTGGATTCAACATGGAAGAACTGGGTGAGTGAAGACCTTTCTCGTATCTTGAAGCAGCCAACCTCATCATGTTACCTAGTCCAAGCTGGTAAGTGCCATGATTCTCATGATCTTAGTGCCTCTGATTCATCAATTTGTAGTCCACGGGTATTGGGAAATAGTGTGTGTTTATTGATGCATCCCAAAAACTTAAACTAAGAGGTAAGCCAACAATAGCTTTATATTTTACAGAAATAGTAGAAAATATGCCAATATGAAAAGCTTAAGAAAGTATATAGGTCAATTTTTAGTTATAGAAATTAATAAGCCATAACTTGTCAAGTTATGGTTCATAACCAGATAAGTTATGGACAAACTTGTCAAGTTATAGTTCATAGCTAGACAAGTTATGGACAAAAATCGTGAATAACTTGTCAAGTTATGGTTCATAACCAGACAAGTTATGGACGAAAACAGTAATTTGGCCTATTTATTAACTTATGTAAACTATTGGCCTATTAATTTTAATTCATCTCAAGTCTTGGCCTATTTCCCTCTTTCTCTCTATATTTTAACACTCCCTTTCACATGTAGACTAGACAACGGACAAATTGTGTGGCTAAATATGGGAAAGCCCAACACGTGAATATCAAATAATAAGCTCGAAACATATTAAAGACGCAACATGTGATGACAATTTAAAACCAAACCTATAGATATTACATCTGAAACATATTAAAGACCCAAACATATTATTTGGGAATAGCTCTGCTACCATGTTGTATAGTCTATTATTAGCCTGCCTCCTAATAGCTTAAGCTTTTTAGACAGATTGGTAAATAAACATGGTCTCAGAGCAGGAGGTTTTGAGTTCAAAGGAAAGAAGCAAAGAATTTAAGAGAAAAACAAGAGTTCTAGAGGAGGAATTAGAAACTCAATATCTACTAATCAAATTAAAAATAAAATTTAAAGTTTCTTATAACATAATCCTAAATAAATCTAAAAAATAAACATAACTTTAAATTCAAAATTAAATATTAAAATGGACTAAATTCTAATCCTAATTTGGTTCCCCATAAAAATATAGGCTTAAGATTGGACTGGAAAGGGATTACGCTGAATGTTATCCCGTGTTTATTAATTGGGCTCCTTACAAAAATACTACAAGCCCATGGCTTTGATTAACTTGTATCAAGAAAAAAAAAATAGTTGCAAAGAATGTCATGGGCAACGTCAACAAACTATATTTAGAATACCAAATATATCCTTAAGACCCCAGTAGGAATCCGCCGTCATACTGGTAACCGGTTGGTATGCCAACCAATATCCACCATGATACTGGTTGTTATCCGTCGTGATACCGATATCTTGCCATGATACCAGTCGGTATTTGTCATCACTGCAGTGCCAAAATCACAGTAAAGCACAAACAATACATGAATAATTAGAAAACCGTTATAAAACTAAGAGATATGATACTAATAGAAAGATATAAAAGTAAAAACTAAGAAAAAAAAAAATAGAAAGAGCGAAAGATTTTTTATTTGGATTCTAATAACATAAGTACGTCAAAAAAAAATGAAAATATATGTTTTTATAACTAATCTGAACTTATTGTGCATCTTACTAGTCACATTGCATGTTCGTATTTATTACACATGTTGTTGTGAATTTCGACAAAGGCAAGCAACTATCTTTTTTTACTTTTCACGACATTTCTCGTGAGATCTTCATCATTCATGACGCCTTATTAAAAATCTTGCTTTAGAAAATCCCGTGGGATAAAAACCATAGTGAAGGAAAAAGAGTGCATCATTCTTTTCATAGATGTTCTATGTGGCATTGTTTAAAACCTTACGATGAAAATCCTGTAGGATAAAAGCATAGTAAGAGAAAAAGAGTACAACTATGTAAACTCCACCCAAACCCCCTCCCCAGGCCTCAAAAAAAAAAAAAAAAAAAGAGCTTTCAAGAGAAGTTCTGTTGTGAAAAGGTGAAGGTGGTTGTCCACTTTTGTTAGAATTCATAGCACTATGTGATTCGTAATAAATACGAACATGGGATGTGAATAATAAATTACACAATAACTTCATATCCGTTATAAATATGAATGGTTTCATTTTTTTTTTTAATTTACTTCTGATATCATAATTTAGATAAAAAATCTTTCGTTCTGTTTATCTTTTTTTTTTCTATTTTTTCAACTTCTATATTTTTGTGTGAGTATTATATCTCTAAGTTTTATGACAAAAACAAATCCAAATGATCCACAAAATGAGAAAAAAAATTCACAAAACATTACAGAAATTTTGCACAGTTCAAATAAAACTTTGTGCGAATTTGGCCATAGTGCTACGGGACAGCAAGTTGTGTTGTTGAACAGGGGCACGAGTGGCGACGCCGGAGTAGATCTCTGTCTGGAGATCGATGAAGGTTGGTCAGAGAAGATTGACCTCTGTTCTCTGCTAGAGGTGAAGGGATCGCACAGAGATCTTAGACTCCTTCGCTCTTAGGTGAGAACCAGTGGCTTGGATCTCCGTGTGCTGCGACGTTCAGCAACTAGATCTTCGTGTGCCCTCACTCATTCTGCAACTCCCGTAGAGTTGGTCGGAAGGAGAGACCACTGGTTCTCCGTGCGTCGCAACGTTCAGCGACTAGATCTTCGTGCACCTTCATTCATTCCGCAACTCCCAGAGAGAGAGAGGGAGAGAAAAAAAATAGCCTTAGTTATTTTAGGGTATTTTAGTCCTCCCTGTCTCAATTTTTTTAACCCCATGGCAGAAAATGGATGAGTTTTACACCTCTGGCATAATTCAATCCACACCTAAGTGTGGTACGCCCACTAATTATCTCTTTTTAGTTTGTTAGGTTAGACACTAAAAACACAATCCAATATTTGGCGCATGCTTAGAACGGACTAAGTTAAATGTAGTAGTTAAAAATTTGATTATTTGAGATATTTTAAAATTATAGATTTGAGAAAATTAATCCTAGATAAACTTAACACTAGAAATAATAATGAAAAATATCAACAACTCAATCATTCGATTTATGTAATTCATTTTTATCAACAAAGTACAAACATTAAAATTACTTAGGAAGCTGCCAGCAAATGCATAGTACTTACAAGGTAATACTCAAAACTTCTACAACAACACAAAAACATAGTACTGAAAACCATCTTAGCAAAAATATTGTCGGGAAGAGTGATGTTAAAGAACAACAAAGACTTCTAACTTTGCTCTGTGTAACCCACCTAAAAACAAAATGTCTTCACAATCCTTAAATAATCTCACCATATCAACATTGCATAGGTCATCATTATGTACAATATAAAAAACAACAAATCAAACTCATATACTCTGTGGCGGGCAAACCCCTCACTTGGCACTCCCAAGGTACTAAGTTCTTTAAGGCTAGTTTGGAAGGTAAACTCAAACCATAATCTTTGATTCTGACGTTTGAAATTTAAATTTTATATAAGAAAAAACACTATAACAGAATCAATGATTTGAGTTTGAGTATATGAAATAAACGGGCCTTAGTCTAAACCAACGGAGCGAATAATAGAAAGTGTTTCAAGCTGATTGACGCCATTTTTGTTGCTGAAGAGCTACCGCAAACCTCTCAGCAGTCTTGCCAAAACAACGCCTTCTGAAGTTATAGACAATGAGGCCTCTAGAATCTTCTCCTCTTAGATCGCTCTCAGAATTCTCCGTAATTTTTTATCTCCCCCTAAGGTTCTTTTTTCTGTCTATGATTTTCGATGTCATTTGTTTCTTTTTTTTATTCTATTTTTTTCTAAATTTGATTTCTTTTTTCCTATTTTTGTGTTTGTTCGGTGGGAAATTAAAATGGTGTTCAAAATTTGAACTTGGGAAAATTTCAGAATTGGAGCAGAGCCCCTAGTCAAGCTTGGCGGGCTGGTCTAGACAAAGAAGGGACAATTGGACAACGTTTAGAGCTTCATGACAATACTATATCCGTAGTCACTTCTTGTCAGCAATAATCGGGAACCGGCTTGGCTTGTTCTTGCCGGTCGTTTTGGGATGACAACACCAGCAATTGACTCCATCTCTCCAGTGATTTGGAATTACAATGTGAAGGCTTTTTGGTGGGTTTGGCTTTTGGGTGGGTGAAAATTCTTTAATCCTTTCGAACGGATCGTTCATTTCACCGATTCGAGTTTTCAGTTTTAAATTTCTACAGTAAAAAGCTCTCAAAAAATGTCACATCTAACTTGTTCTGCTACAGTGAAAAGCTCTCAGAAAATGTCACATCTCAGCTCGAATTGAAAACTCGAATCCGCAAAGTGAACGAGACCGCTTCCACATGATTTGGGTTCATAGGGGAACTCTGTGAGAGAGGAAATTTAGAATTCAAACTCTTTTGTGAGATAAAACAACACTGTAGCAGAATCATAATTTGAGTTTGAATATACTTTTTAAACAAGCCTTAATAGTCTCATCTAGTTTTGGGGACAAATAATCCTACAATACATGGGACTATTTCTGGTCAAAGGATAGCTTATTTGATCAAGATGTGTGCCCAAACGTAGGATTACGGTGAATAATCCCAATCCCAGTGCGGCCAAACAAGGACCAAGTCTACACCAGAGAAGGGATAGTGTGGAAAAAAATGTTCAGATCTAAGCTTCAAGGCCTGTGTAGATGTTGGATATATCAAAAACAGTCGATCAACATCTTGATATTGCATGCTACTAGGAGTAAATTTGATGGATCTGGAGAAGATACCACTTGTAGGACAATTTAAGTGGTGAGACCTGTGACATATGGAACTAGTGAGTTAGACAATATCCACGCAAATGTCAATGTCAATGCTACGTTTGTCAAGAAAAGTGTATAAATAATATATTTGATGTGCTATTCTGTTTTGTGCCCCAACTTTTTGGCATAATTCTTCAGCTTTGAAACTTTTAAAGGTGGACTTCTAATATTAAAATAATTTAAAAATAATGTTGTAATGATCAAAAGAAAAGTTTAATCCATCAACCAATAATAATTAAATGCTAAATTTGACATATGCGATGCTTTGTGTTAAATTTACAACCAAGTATAACATTTAACAAATTTAACATCAAAAATAGCATTGGAGAATAAATTTCCACTTGAATTTAGCATTGGCACATCAATGCAATTTAGCATTGAATTGAAGATGTTTTTATTATAGTTGACAATCATTCTAGAAAGTCTAAGAGTGAAGTGGCATGACCAATGAGACTGAAGCGACAGTCGATAGCAAATCTGCCATCAACATTATTTATATTTTTTTAGAGTTTTTCTGGTAGGGCCTTCTTATTAGTAAGGGTCAGTTTCTAACCATTTGATCTGATAAAAATCGTGTCAGATTGAAAAGGTATGCAGATAGTTTTTGATACAGATATATGACCGCTGAAAATAATGAACTACCAATAGTTGATTTTTTTTAGTTCTACTAGAGAAGCTACGAGAATAAACATCAGCTATGATAATCAATACAAAGTAAGGAGGGAAATCCTCAAAAAAGATGAAAAAGAAAGTTACAAATGTCTCGTTCATTTTACCGATTCGAGTTTTCAGTTTTAGGTTTCTACAGTAAAAAAGCTCTCAGAATATGTCACATCTAACTTTTTCTGCTGCAGAAAAAAAACTCTCAGAAAATGTCACATCTCAGCTCGAATTGAAAACTCGAATCCGCGAAGTGAATGAGGTAAAAATGTAGAGTCGACAACCTTAACATTATCCATTTTTCAATCCAATATGATCGAATAAATCATGTTGAAGGAGACAATCATTTCATAGAAAAGAAGCTGGACAATGGATCGGTATGCCCACCTTTAAGTAGGGTTGGCAATCCGGTTAGTGACACGATGACACGACTCGAAATCCGCACGAAATTAACGGGTTTGGGTTTATCATAAATATGTCCGGGTCAAAATCAGGTCGAACCCGTGAAACACGATTAAATAACGTGTCATTTTCAGGTTGACCCGTCAACTCACAATTGACCCATCATGACCCGTTTATTAAACATGTCATATTTGGGTAACACAAATACACAACCCATTTATTACTCATTTTATAAACATATTTAAAAATAGGTTCAGAAATAAGTTAACATGACCCATTTATCACATATTTTATAAACATGTTCAAAAATAGGTTCAGAAATAAATTAACACGATCCATTTATCACTCATTTTATAAATTGACAGGTAATCAACGTGTTGACACGACACGTTTATGACCTGTTTAATAAACGGGTTATTCGTGTCGTGCCGTGTCAACCCGTCAATATACAGGTCGTGTTTAGGTTTTATATTTCGACACGATTAATAAACAAGTCGTGTTTATGTCAGGTCTATTCGTGTCAACTGAGGGGGTCAACACGACACGAACACGATTCACCAACATGAATTGCCACCCCAGCCTTTAAGTTTCAACTGATGGATAGCTTGCAGACATCTTTGATTAAGGGATTGAATAATCCCTCATTTCTAGCAATTACAAGGAAGTTGGGTATATGCCGCGCAATTTAAGGGGAAGTGTTGAAAACAGAGTTTTCCTAAAATCTCATGATATCAACTTTGTACAGTAGTAGATATTTGACTTTCAATAGGAGTAAATGTAATCGGCCGGAGATTAGGCTAAATCCATCAAGAGTTTCTATGAAAAATCAAAATTTTTGTTACTAAAAAATTTTTCGTCGTCTGTATCCGATTTACCTAGTGCATCAGATTTTTTTTTTGAACTTTCTACAATAGGACATCCCTAATAGTACCTCATGTCTCTAAATATTGATCTGTTGACATAAAAAAGACAGTATAAATTCATGTCCCTAAGTTATCCTTATTTGTAACAGAAGTTCACATATCCCCATCTCTCACATTGAAATTTATTGTCCTGTCATTGGGCGAAAAAATTGTTATGATCTTAGTAACTTGTCTCCAAATTTAATTTCAGATCTGCATCGGGTGATCGTTCAAGTGTGGAGGATACCAAAAAATAATTCATGTAATCCAGACAACTCAGGAGGAGAAATAAGGACCGAGAGATGCTGCTACTGGATACAGAGGGATAATTGCTCACTTGCATGAAGCTAATTTTTGACAAGGAACTCCTACTGACTACTATCTTATGCTGGGTATAACTGAATAAGTAGCTGGCTTTCTTTGAAGTTATTATATGTAGATCCTAAATGTCAAACTTCATTTTTTGTTTTATGCCCTTTATGTGATGTAAATATCCTTGTATTTGGTTAGCAGGACCTGGTAAAAGGGATCTTTTTAAAGATGATACTAATAGAGAGCTTTATTTGAAAAATAACTTTTCAAAAACTTTAATTTATTAGAAATCTTTACGGTAGAGCAAGCTGTTTTGCTCAGATCTATATAGGTCCGTATTAAAAATTTACGTGCTATACAAAATTGCTCCTGCAGCAGATCTGACCGTTAAAAAATTAATCTAACAGTAAAAATACGGTCACCACCATAGAGCAAAAAAACTTGCTCCACCCTAAAGACACCCTACAAAATTATTTCAGAACAACCAAGGTGATCATTTTTTACCCTACATAATCAAGTAGGTTGCTCAATATAAGTTATTTTGGATGGTTTTTATGGTTGAGTAAGTTATTTTGTTTTATCGGTGGGCGCGAGTGTTTTTACTATTGAATTAATTTTTCAACGGTCAGATCTACAGCATGAGCAGTTTTGTATGGCATGTTATAAATTTTTAATATAGACCTAAACATATCTGACTGTTAAAAAAATAATCCAACAATTGAAAACACTTGTCCCACTAATAAAGTAAAATAGCTCTCTCCATCATAAATATTCCTTACTTTTTAAGGTGTCATTTTGACAAACTTTCCCAGAAAATTTATCAAAAGCTCATGTAGCTCTAAGAAACGATGGCAAACGAAATTTAAACCAAAAAAAAAAAAGAAAAAGAAAAGCCTAAGTAGTTGATTTTGTAGAAGGAAGGGAACATTATTAGCTAGCATATTATGCAATCACCATTTTCTGCCATGTAGTGGAGAATGGAGAGAGATGCACCGAATTTTCAATTTTCTTAACGGGAAGATTTTTGTGCTTTGGATTTTTTTTAACCCTTTAACTAAAAAGAGGCCGAATTTTAAAAAATGATGCAAAATTAAAGAATTTTGTTAATAGCATCTCTAATACAATGTTATAATTGATATGCTAATAGTAAATTTGTAAAAAAATCTTCAATACATTGTCATTTGTCCTGCCAGATTCGTCCTATGTTATGATTTGTGACAAATTCTGTTGAGATTTGTTCTCGATCCTTGTAATCTCCTTTTGTAATTCTTTCCTAATTTAGGGACACCACAGTTGTATGATGAGTGTGAACAAAATAGTTAGCCTTGATTCTAGGACGTGATTCTAGGATAGCTGATTGTATTTTCTACCTATATAACCATGTACAGACTAATCACAAAGTATGAATGAAAAATACAATTTCTATATTTTTCAAGTTGGTATCAGAGCCTCTAGATTCTCTTGTTCATTCATCGTAAAAAAAAAAAAACCAGAAATCAGATTCCTTCTCAAAACCAAAATCAAAAACCTAGAAATCAGATATCTTTCTCAAACCCAAAATCAAACTCAACCACAACCCCCGCCGTTGGAAGCCGTCGCTCGCCACCGTCTGAAGACATCGCGTCCAGACCCACTGCCTTCGCCGATCAGACTCGTCGCCCAAACTCGCTGCCTCCACCGATCTTCTCGCCAGACGTCGTCATCACCCGCCACGGCTCTTTGCTTTCCGAGTTGTTTCCGTGTTTCTCAGTCAAAGCCATATGCTTCGTGATTAATCTCAGGAAAACGACAGAGTTTGTCTTTTATTGCTTATAAAGTTTGCTTTCCAGAGTTTGTTCTCACGTTTGTAGTATTATTA